CTACACCTGGAGGTGTTACCAGAGGAAGCTGCAGAACAGCAAAAATGGCTTCCTGCTCCTTCCTCTGGGATCTCTGTCCCAGAGGGGCACCGACCTGATGCCAGCGGGAATACTATAGTATAAGGTGTCTAGCGACCCCTGTTGAGGGTTTTCACCCAGTCACGAGGCACTTGATCTGGGTCCTGCTTAACAAAGCACTCTGGCAGCCCCTTGGCTGAGGGGGTATGCTGCATTTGGTGGAACCCACTCATCTGGACTGCCCAGATTCCTCAGAGCCAGCAGGGGGAAAGACGAAGTCTGCTGATCTGTGGAGACCATGGCCGCCCCTCCACCCAGGGGCTCAGTTCCAGGGAGATCAGTTTTGTCCCTAAACCCTTGCCTAGAGTTGGTGAAATTCCTGCAGGGAGCCAAGCCACGAGGAGGAATGGGTCAGGGTCCAGCCTAAAGAGGCAGTCTGGCCATGATCTGCCACAGCCGCTGTGCTGTGTTGTAGGAAATTCATCCTGGATCCAAACTGTCCAGTTTCCCCAGTACTGGAAGGGGAAAAACGGCCGACTGGAGCCGCAGTGATGGCTGCCACCCCTCCCCTGGGAGCTCAGCCTTGGTTTTCTGTTTTCTGTTTGTCGTGTGTGTGTGTCGTGTGTCTTGGACACGCAGGTCTCTGTGGCTGTCCGGCCGCAGGCTCGGAGTGCAGCTGGGCATGATCTTTGGCTGCACCTGGCAACCTCCAACTCGCCTGATCTCAGACATGCAGCTCCTCCTGCCTCGCAGCCGCCTCCTGAGTAGCCTGGGCGATTACAGGCACCCCGCACGCATCCATGCCTGGCTTTTGTTTCGTTTTTGTTTTGTTTCTTGTACATCTTTAGGTAGAGAAGGGTTTCAGCCATGTTGGCCAGCGGCTCGGTCTTGACTCGCTGAGACGCTCAGGTGATCCGACCCACCCTCGGCCTCCGCCAAAGGTGGCTGGGATGAGCAGGCGTTGAGCCCACCACGCTCCTTAGGCGCAGCCACCAGCTGCCGTGATGACGGCAGCCCCCTCCCCGAAACTCCGATAGTCTTTAGGCACATCTCCAGCTTGAGTGGCCGCTGAAGCAGTCTCGCACAGCTCTGCGTGGCTTGCTCCCCAAAACGGAGAATCTCCACTGCGATCTGCGTGGGTTGGCACCGGATCCGGAGAAAAGTGTGGCATTCCCTGGTCAGGGTAGGCCACATCACTGCCTCAACCCCTCCCTCTGGCATGCGCGAGGTCCTTCTTGCCCTGTGTGGCTCCCAAGGTGGGCCCCAGCTCGCACCCAACCCCGCTGCTTTCCTCACCGCCGCCATGGGTCATGGATGCCACTGCGCTACGTCAGTCCAAACAACCAGTGAGAGCAAAACCCTGCGATAGCCGCCATTTCCCAGCTCGCCATCTTTCGTGTCTTCCTAAAATGGGAGCCCTCTGCACTGCAGCTGTTCCTAGTCAATCCACCCCGGTGTGCCCGTCCCCGCTCTGTACTTTTCTTTAGTACGATTTTCAGAATAACTTATTTATATCTTAAACAATCCTGCTGGAATTTTGATAGGAATTGAATTAAACCTAAATCTCAATTTGAGGAGAATTGGCAACTTGACTACGTTAAATTTCACAATTCATGAACATATTCTGTCTCTCCATGTATCTAGGTCTTCTTGATTTCTTTCAGCAGTGTTTTGTAGTTTTCAACATAAAAATCCTGTACATGTCAAAAATTAGCTGGGCATGGTGGTGGGCACCCGTAGTCCTAGCTACTTGGGAGACTGAGGCAGGAGAATTGCTTGAACCCGGGGGGGCAGAGGTTGCTGTGAGCTGAGATCCCGCCATTGCACTTCAGCCTAGGGAACAGAGCGAGACTCTGTCTCAAAAAAAAAAAAAAAAACAGTTGTGTACATATGTTTTTAAGATTTTTGTTTTAACATTTACATTTGTTTTATTTTCCTGAGTGTGATTGTCAATGCTTTTGTATTTTTAAGTTTGGTGTCTGCATGCTTATCGCTGCTGTATAGATATACAGCTGATTTTTGTATGTTTATCATGCATTTTGTGACCTTTCTGAACTCACATAAGCATTTTTTATATTTTGTTTTTGTTTTTAGATTTTTAAAGACATTTCTTGGAATTTTCTATGTCCTCTGAATCATGTCATCTGAAAATGGTGACAATTTCATTTATTTCTGCGTGTATGCCTTTTATTTCTTTATCTTATTGCACTGGACATAACTTCCAGTTTTTTATTGAATAAGAGTAATGACAGTGAACATTCTTGATTTGCCCCCAATTTTCATGTGTAAAAATTTAGTCTTTCCTCATAACCTACAGTACAATGTTAGTCATAGGTTTTTTGTAGATGCTTTTTATCAAGTTGAGGAAATTCCTCTTCATTCCTCTCCGTCTGAGGTTTTGTTTATTTTAAAAAATTTATGAAAAGGGTGTTAAATGTTGTCAAATCCATTTACTGTATCAATTAGTAGGATCATATAATTCTTCTTTAGGCTGTTAGTATGCTGGATTGGATTGACTGGCTTTCAACTATTGAACCAACCATGCATACCCGGAATAAACCCCACTTGATCATGGTATGTAATTTCTTTTATATATTGCTGAATTTGATATTATGAATTTTTGCATTTATATTCATAAGGATATTGGTCTGTAGTTCTCTGTGTCTGTACTCTTTATCTGGTTTTGGCATCAGGGTAATCTCTTCTCTCCTTTTCTGTTTTTGGAAGAGATTATGTAGAATTTGTGTTCATTCCTCTTTTTGATGGAGTTTTCCAGTGAAACCATCTGGACCTATATATTTCTTTTGAGGTGTTATGAAATTATTATTTCAATTACCTTAAGAGCTGTAAGTCTACTCAAATGATCTATTTCACATTGGATGAGTTGTGGTAGTTTGTATTTTTTGAGGAATTCGTTCACTTTATCTTCATTGTCAAAATTGTGTGTTTAGAATTCCTAATAGTATCTTCCTATCTCTTGTATATCCGCAGGGTCTGTAGTGATATACCTTATTTCAGTTCTTATATTGTCTTCTCTGTTTTTTCTTTGTCAATCTTGCTAGAGATTTGTTATTCATCTTTACAAAGAACCGGGTCTTCACTTCATTGATTTTTCTCTGTTGTTTTCTATGTTCAATTTCATTGATTTTTGATCCTATCATTATTACTTCCTTCTGTTTGCTTTGAATTTATTTTGCTCTTTTCTAGGCTTCTTAAATAGAAACTTAGATTCTTGATTTGAGACTTTCCTCTTTTTTAATGTATGTATTCAGTGCTATATATTTTCTTCTTATCACTGTTCTAGCTTTGTTCCACAAATTCTGATATGTTATATTTTCATTTTAATACAGCTCGATTGTTTTTTAAAATTATACTTGCGACTTCCCCGTGGATTATTAATAAATGTGTTGTTTAGTTTTTGAGTGTCTGGAGATTTTCTTCATCTTTGTTATTGATTTCTAGGCTGATTGCATTGTGATCAGAGAACATACTTCGTATGATGTACGATTTCAATTACTCTAAATTTGTTGGAGTTTATATTATACCCCAGTATATGATCTATCATGGTATATATTCAGGGGACACTTGAAAATAACGTTAGTTCTGCTGTTATTGAAGGGGGTGGTCTATAAATGTCAAATAGATACTGTTGGTTACCGCTGTTGTAGAGTTATCCCATATCCTTACTGATCTTCTGTCTAGTTATTCTATCATTGTTGAGAGAGGGGTTTTGAAGTCTTCAACTATAATTGTGAACATTCGTCTATGTCTCTTTCAGTTTTTTTCTCACATATTTTGCATTTCAACTGTATGATGAATACGTTTTCAGGATTGCTATGTCTTCTTGGTGGATTGAATCCTTTATTATAATATCCCTCTCTGTCACTGGTCATTTTCTTTACTTTGAAATCCACTTATGTGAAATATATATAGCCACATCTCTTTCTTTTTGTTAATGTTTATATTTCTTTCTCCATTCTTTTCCTTTCAACCTAAGCTGTAATATTTGAGGTGAGCTTCTTGTGGACAACATAGAGTTGGGTAATGTTTATTTTGAATCCACTCTGCCAACTTCTGTCTTTTAATTGGTGCATTGAGACCTTTTACATGTAATATAATTAATGATATGTTCATATTTAAGTTTGTCATTTTATTTTTTGTTTCTATGTGTTTTCTTTTTCCTGCCTTCTTGTGAGTTGCTTTAACATTTGATTCATCTATTGTGTTTTTGAGTATATCCCTTTGTATAGTTTTTTAGTGGCTGCTGTAGATATTACATTAAACATACATAATTTATCACATTTTACTGTTTTCATCATTTTACCAGTTCAAGTGAAGTGTGGAAGCCTTACCTCTCTTTAATTAATCCACTAAAATAAAACCAACTGCCCCTGACCATTTCATGCTCTTCATGTAGTAGACAAACAGAAAAAGATAGGAGTCATTTTTTAAACTGAGATAATTGATATTGATTACCATGAAGATTTATGGCTTATGCCATGAACTCTCATATTAATTCCATAGATGGTAATAAATTCTAATAAGCATTTTAGTCATAACACAAAAAACAGAATAACTAAAACCTCTAATAGTTGAAGGTCTAATTCATTCTACCAGGCATCAACATAGACCTGCCAAAGTGATAGCGTAGATGAGGGAAATCTAAAATAGGTAGTAGAGAGTCAGTCAAGCTAATTATCTGCAATTACAGCTTTGGGACAACCAGCAGTAGTATGGACTGTATCTTGTTTTGATTACACTTTTATGCAATCTTACCATCTCCTAACTGGCCACCAACTTAAAGGGAATTCTGAGTTATGGTGCATATACCCACCCTGTTTGAGAAGGAATGAGGCTGAATTCATTTTAACAACAACACATAGAGGCTCCAAATCATAGGATGAGAGCTGGATACAATGGGGAACTGCAAATGGATCTAAGTAGCACAGGCATGGATTGCATTGAACACGAATCTCACGTACCTCCTCAGTTTCTCTCGACAGTCTCCTCCTTTCTGAAGGCATCCTCTGCCTCCTGGACCAAGTCACTACCACTGACAGCCTTACCCCTCTTGTGGGAGATGGGGTGTGCTACTCAGCACAAGGAAGCAAAAATATGTGTGGTCCACAACTCTCTGTCAAATTCCTCAAGATGGCTGGCATCCCAGTTTTTGACCCAGACCTGCATGGGCTATAGGCAGATACATACACACACACAACACTCACAGTCAGCCACGACTTAAGCAGATAAGGAAGAAAGCTAGAAATAACTACACATGGCCGGGCGTGGCGGCTCATGCCTGTAATCCCAGCACTTTAGGAGGCCGAGGTGGGTGGATCACCGCAGGTCAGGAGTTCAAGACCAGCCTGGCCAACATGGTAAAACCCTGTCTCTACTAAAAATATAAAAAATAGCCAGGCGTGGTGGCAGGTACCTATAATCTCAGCTACTTGGGAGGCTGAGGCAGGAGAATCGCTTGAACCTGGAAGGCAGAGGTTGCAGTGAGCTGAGATCGTGCCATTGCACTCCAGCCTGGGCAATAAGAGTGAGACTCCATCTCAAAAAAAAGAAAAAGAAGTAACTACACACTAGTTACCATAATATATAACTTACATTTATTATATCATCTCATTACAAATTGTTTGTAAATCTTTTTACTAAGAGAACATAGATCACTCCTATATCGTTGACAGCTTTGTTTTAATAGCTGCAAATATTTTTGATTCATAACCTTGAGACAATAAGTATTTGTATAATTTCCTATTTTTGTAGGAAAACATACACTTGTTCACTCAAATTTGTAAAGTCTTTGCCATCTGATTGACTTTATTGCTAAATATTGTCATTAGCCCACTTTCCATGACCTCATTTTTAATAAACTAGCATATAAAAGGCTACACAGGCTTTTAGAATTAAAAGCATTGCAAAAGTCATGCCTCCTTGTGAAAAATTATTAATAAGTTAAATGAGCAAATAAGGAGCTCTTAACAGATTAAGCACAAAGATTTCCCTTTATAACACCAAACTTGCAGTGGGCACTCGGGGAGGGGAGTGCTGATAAGGGATATGTGGGATTCAGAAATGAGACACTTTGAGGTAGACATTTCTGTCAAGCCCCTCACTGGAGGGGAAGGAGAACACCTTCAGTTTCTCAGCAGAAGTCACTGGCCCTGTGAGAAGGAGACTCTGCCCTTGAGAAGTCTAACCACTGCAGCCTTCATGTCCTTGTTCCGCAGGCTATAAATAAAGGGGTTCAGCAGGGGAGTCACCACTGTGTACATGACAGCAGCCGCTGTATCCTCCTCTACTGAGCTGGAGGAAGAGGATGAGGGGCACAGATACGCCCTGATCACCGTCCCGAAGAACAGAGCAACAACAACCAGGTGAGAGCCGCAGGTAGAGAAGGCCTTGCGCCTTCCCTGGGCAGAGGGCGCCCTGAGGATGGCTGAAACAATGCGGATATAAGAGACCAGGATGAGCATAAAAGGGATTAAAATGACTGTTCCCCCTAGGAAGAGGAGCACAAGCTCATTGACCTGGGTGTCAAAGCAAGACACCTTCATCAGCGGTCCCAAATCGCAGAAGAAGTCAGGAATGATCTTAGAGCAGAAGGAAAGCCGGGATATGAGGAAGGTGTGAGTCATGGCGACAAGACTCGTGAGGGTCCAGCAGGCGGCCACCAGGATGGCACAGCGGTGGAGGCTCATGATCATCATATAGTGGAGTGGGTGGCAAATGGCCACATAGCGGTCATAGGCCATTACAGCCAGGAGAAAGATGTCCATGTCCCCAAAAGTCAAGAAGAAGTAGAGCTGTGCCAAGCACCCTGCATAGGAAATGGACCTGCTCTGGGTCTGGATGTTCACCAGGGCCTTGGGCACGGTGGTGGAGGTGAAAAAGATGTCTGTACATGACAAGCTGGCAAGGAAGAAGTACATGGGGGTGTAGAGGTGTGTGTCGGTGCCAATGGCCAGGACAATGAGCAGGTTCCCAGCCACAGTGACCGCGTACATCCACAGAAACAACAGGAAGAGGATGTGTTGCTGCTGTGTCTGGTCTGAGAGTCCCCAGAGGAGGAACTCAAAGGTACTAGTCTGATTCCCTCCTTCCAGGAGCTCAGAAGTCAGAGAAAAAACACCTTGAGTGAGCCCCATTACAGGTCTGTAAAAATGCTTTACTTTAGATTGGTGAGCATGCTATTCTCTGAGCTTTAAGGAAGAAGAAAGACAGTGTACTTTTATTGGCCATCTACTATGTGCACTGTAAATTTTTACTGAAATACACTATGCTGGAAAGTGTGGGAGATACAATGTGAGGTAATTAAAATACGTTTCTCATTTGTTTTTCTACACTCTTTTTCATCCCAAATTTCTTTAGCGGTACTTTCCTTTTCTTTAGCTGTACTCTCAGAGGAGTTAATATCTGTAAAATGAATGAATGAAAGCATCTTAATTACTAACTCTGGACCTGGCACAGTGCTAGGTAAGTAAGACAGTGGTAACCCTTAACCTCAGGGAATTTCAGTCTAATGGGCTAGACATAACTGCCTCTATTAAAATCTTATATGAGTTGGATTCAGAGTTTCCCAGCCATTCACTTGCTTTCAAACGACTCTCAGACCCCAAGACTGCACCTGTTCCGATTCATCAAGCCCAAAACTCAATATTCTCTAAAGATGCAATTTCATATTATCTATTTTTCTGGAAACCAATTCAATAATCAACTATTTAGTAAAGACCCACTATGTACAGATTACTTTTTGAGGTGTCAGTGAAACTCCAAAGAAAAAAATCATAGTCTCCAGAATCTCAAACAGAATAGAACAGGATGTGTCCTAAAAGAGAAGCTGAAGGCCAAAACTCAGCAATCAGGTAACTCACTCCAGGGTACGACTGGAGAAGCAGCCAGGGCTGTTCTGATGAATGTTCTGATGAAGAGACCTTCATATGGATAGAAATATCAGCAATAGGCCGGGTGCGGTGGCTCAGGCCTGAAATACCAGCAGTTTGGGAGGCCTGGGTGGGCAGATCGCTTGAGGTCAGGAGTTCGAGAATAGCCTGGGCAACACGGTGAAACCCCGTCTCTACAAAAAATACAAAAAAATTAGCTGGGTGTGGTGGTGGGCGCCTGTAGTCCCAGCTACTCAGGAGGCTGAGGCAGGAGAATCACATGAACCAGAGAGGCAGAGGTTGGTAGTGAGCCGAGATCACCACACTCGTGCCAGCCTGGGCCACAGAAGCGGGGAAAGGGAATGAAGGAAGGAAGAAAGAACTAGGCAACAGGGAGTAAAGGTCCCTAATGATTACGACCACTGTGTGGGGGATGACTTTTCTCTCCATCTCTGACTGGTAAAAGTCCACACATTTCCACACAAATGCCACCTACTACTTAACATTTCACGGTCCTTCTCTAAGAGAAAAGCTGTTCCTGCACCAAGCTTCCACAAGATTTTGATGACACATTTTTTTCATCAGCACTTGAACATTTTTGTGCCCCTGTATTAATGGTAGATTCTGTAACATGCTATGTCTTCCACACAGTAGCTGTAGTAGTGTCTTGACTACAGAAAAATTAATGTTAAATGATTAGAGTTTCTACTTTTCTCCTTTCTTAGGTCTTACCTTCCTTTCCTGAATTTATTCTTCTCAAGGCTGAGAATTTTAAAACAGAGTCAAACAGGAGTTTGGGTCAATTTAATTCAGTTCAAGTCTGCAAACATTTATCAGTCTTCTCACCCTCTGTACATGCACCTTGACTATCTATACCCAGAGAAGGAGGGCATTCTGTATGTTTTATCTCTGTGTAAACCCTTGGGCTGAATGGAGTGAAGTGTTAACCGTTGACCGGTGGTGATGGCCTTGAGAAGTCTGTGAAAGCGAGAAGTTCTAAAACATAATTTGATCAAGTCACAGATAAAACTTTCAGAAGCTTTTGGTATCCTTTTCAACAAGTACATATCTGAAGAAAGAATAAAAAGGATGCAAAGGGAACTACATTAAGAAAAGGGTGCATGGAACCATATCTGAATTATGTATTTGGGACTAAACAGTGATTGTCTAGATCCTAATTTTCTTGTGTCTCCACTGAGAACCATGCAAAGTGACAAGGAGGGGGAATATACGCTCAGATATGTATACTTTCATTGAAACTGAGAGTCAGAAACATCTCACATTAAAAAAAAAACACACACACAACACCTTGGAAATGAGTGGAAGACAACACCATGAATCAGCCCCATCAATGCGGAAAGTAAAGGCCAAGCAGCAAAGTAGGTGAGTAGGGCAGGGGGTAATGGGTAATGGGGAGTAGCAGAATCTACAAATCCTCAGCTGACAGTCATGCCTAGAAAGAGAGGACATAACCCTGAGGGATAGTTGTTATGTATAGATCCAAAGAAACAGGGCAAAAAGTCATGCCAAACAAAGGTGAAGAGGAAAGGTGAGACAGGCGATAAAGCAATCTTCATCATTGTAGCAATGGAAGGAGTCCTCAGATGGAGAATCTGGGCAAGTTACCCTAATCTTGCTAAATCTCTGGTACGAAAAAAAGGCAAATTGTTCAAATGTGAATCATAACTAATGACTAAATTGCTGAACCTATAGAGAAATATGAAAAAGGAACCCCTGAAAAGTCAAGCTTTTTATAAGAGAACTCACTAGGAAATTGTCTCTATTGAGAAAAATTCCAATACAATATGTCTTCAAGAATTTTCAAAGTCATAAAACTAATTGTGAAAGAATACTACAAATAGGAAATAAACTCAGAGAAAATATACCCGGACCACAAGAAGGTGTGAAATAGGAACTGAGAGAAATCTGGATAGAAATGGAAGCAACAGTCACTTATTTTGAAGACTAAGTTACAGAGATTTTTTTTAAATGAACAATACAGAAATCATTATAAAGGACATAAAGGCTAGAAATCAGAAAGGCAAAAGAAACAAAAATAAAGCATGGGGTAAAAGAGTTAGAGAGAAAGAAATTGGTATAGAAGACTGACCAAGAAGATTATATTATAAGCAGAATCCCAAAGAAAAAAGTAAACTTCAGAGTAGAAGATTTAAAATTTAAAT